TGCCGGGCCAGTGACTTGCTGCATTCGGCCACCAGCTCGAACTTCAGCGCGGGGCCGGTCCAGACTGAGACGAGTGGAGGTGGCATTTCCGGCGTATCCTCTGCCTGCTCCTTCTTTGCTGAGTCGGATACTGTTGAGGCCTAAAATAAAAGGTAGTTTGTAAGAGTAAATACAGTTATCGATCAGGTGGCTGCCGAAAAGGCGTGCTAGGTTTTCTTTTAAATAACGGTAGGCTGTGCCGTGGTCACTCCATAAGCAAAAGGGGGGTTTTAATGGCCACAGACAAAAGCAGACATTGGTTACAATACTGCCATCATTGTTAGGGGGTTCGGCAGATTTGCTTAATTCAATTGAACCCAATTGTGATAAATTCGCAGCCTCGATGGAAATCGAACCCACACAACAGGGAAGGCTTTTGTGCAGCCAACCCTTTACCATTCAGCTACGAAGCACAAAAGCCTCCTCTGCTATGTTGGTTCGACTCCCAACGAGACCGTGAATTTTTCCCTACTATCATTACTACTTATACTATTGATACTGTTGCTGCCGCCAGCATAAACGAGAAAAACGACACTGTGAATGGCAAATGCAATTGTATAAGGGTGGTGCAGCTACTCACACCCCAAGACAATTATCACCATCGCCGTAAAAAGGCATATCCTGGATATAGGCTAAAGATATGGGGGACACGATAGATTGGATTCTGAACAAATGTGCACAATGCAGATATAGACGGCAGCTTGTTCCCTAAATTTAATAAAAAACGTCCGTAATACACAGATTTTTCCGAGCCAGACTAGTGATTGGTCTGCGCTTACCGGCTACAACATTTAATGGGGTATAATGAGCTTGCTAAGAATTGAAAAGGGCGATACACCAGGACCGCCTTAATCCGTTCGAGACGATTGGTTGGTAGACGACCTTGATGCTGTCGCATTCTACACCAACCTCTCAGCCACATCCCGCCCAGTGATGTTCCATGCACGCGACCTGATCAACGTCTCATGTTTTCAGTGCGCACTCTATTTTGGAGAACAAAGGCCGAGGAGAGGGAGCGAGGCGTTTTTCAGACATGCAATGTGTTTTGGACGACAAACGTATGCAATGCAAAATGCTGGTTGATGTAAACGCCTGTCTGCTAGCGCTTAACAATTGTCGTGCGAGGATGTGGCAGGCCTTGAACGCAGGCTTTCAGCCCGCTTCATTCAAGCTTGCTCCTATCAGACTTGGCTTCTACAAGCTACTGGGGACATTGAGGTCGATCCGACACTTAGTTGATCACTAGTAACAATCGAACGCTTCCTGAGCCCACTGAGAAGAGGTGACGGTCGTGACTAGAAAAAAGTACCAATCAACGAGAGACGTTAGCCCTACTTAGGACAGTGTCAGACTGCCATGGTCGTTCCAAAATGTGACCTTTGCGGCACTCAAAAATGGACACTGTCTGAATGGAGACTGAAGTCCGTGGAGTCAGAGACCAAGTCGCATGTGGTCTGCATATACGGCCACTGCCCTCATCTTTGGTAGTTTTGGCTTCACCTTGCCATCGAGAAACGCGGTGTGTACGGACAATGGGTGAGGTGGATGCATCGCAAGTCTATCTGACTATAGACAAATGCACGGGCAGTAGTGTGGACCGGGTCACCTGTGGACGATCGAAATACTGTGCAATCTGTACACAGCTTCAGTCCCTCCTTAGCCCCCTCTCCCCCCCCC